TGACATGGAGGGACAAGAGGACAAGAGTCTGTTAGCATTCCTAGAACATCCAACCTATCAGAAAGAAAAAAAAATAAAATAAAAAAACAGTAAAGAGAGAGAGAAAGACAGAGAAGGGAAAAAAAACCCACTCTGGGCCTGCACATTGCAGCTTACCGCCATCTTGATGTCCTTGATGCGTGTCGATGGCATGGAGGCGGCTGGCACCAGAACAGCCCAAGAGAAGGAATGAGAGGCCAATGGAGATTTATGTGAGGAGAGTGAGATGGACAAGGTAAAATTGTCAGGAGGAGTTGTTAGAAAGTAAAATATATTGTGACAATTCCACTCCTGCCGTTCATCAATAAACTGACAGATCATTTAGTGTCAATTAGGAGTGATAGATGGACAAGTCCCCATGATCCTGGGCCAAAATTAATGGCTGGGAGGGAGAAGGTGATTGAAAATGACGGCTGACATTGAGAGGAAAGTCCTGAAGGTCCCCAAGGGGCCATTACTTGCCTCATTCCCTTGCAGATCAATGCAGGGACAAACCCAAAAACAGACACTTCAAGACAAAACTTAATCAGTCTTCCTTTTCTACCTTCTCCTTCTAAGTTGTGCCCCCTTACTTGGCAGCCTTGGTCCCTTGTGCCTCCACTCTCCACATCACTGAGGATATCCACAGATGGCTGCAAGATGCAGAATGATGCTGCCATCTTCCCCCAGCCAAGAGCCTGGCTCTGCCCCTGATACAGTTGTGGCAGAGGGAAGCACAGCCTGAGATTTCTCAACTCTCCCAGACTGGAAGTAGAGAGGAGAAGCAATGACACAAGCTTCCCCCTAGAATGTAAGGTAGAAAAATTCATGAGCATTTTACTACTCCCACTTGCAAGACTGATATGTCCAGAGGTTCTATAAACTTGGCACTCTCAAGGGTCATGCCATATAGATACAGCACAGGATACTTTAAGCTCATTTTTTTGAAGCAGGAGTTTTTAACTTTACTTACTCTCCTGAGGCCTTGAATTATACAAACCCTTAATCTCTTAAATAACCTTCGTCCAGCTCCAGGGTACAATCTCACCTTTGCCCACCCTCTAGCATCCTGATATCTGCACAGCGGCAGGGACACCCCTGCTGCCATGGTCTACAACTACAACTACGCCCCAACTACACCTGCTTCCTTC